AACCTTCATTTAATTCGCTGCTAGGGTTAAAACAAAAGACAGGTACGCTGGTTGTCCACGGCGATTGTGGGTTAAAATGACATCCCCCCCCCCTCAGTGTTAACGGTACAACACAGGTAGCTCTAATCTGTTGGGTTAACACAGGAAGTCGGGTCCTCTTATCTGGGGGAGGGGTCGGGTGGAGGGGTGGGGGTAAGGGTGCTGAAGTATCATTACTAAAACCAAAACAGATTTTTCTATAGAAAGCTACGTGGTACAGCTTTACGTGAACCCCTGAAAAATAAAAGTTTTACATTATTTGAAGATCCGTTAGAAAATCCTTGATAAAAAAATGGAGTGTCGAATATGCATTTTGATTAGTCAAATTGAAAAAAACCCGTTACGACGCGGGTTTTTTAAATCACGAGGCACATGGCTGTTATAGAAATTGTGGTGATTAGTTAACGGTGGTTGTATTGTGGTGCTGTGTTTGTGGTATTCGTGAGGATTTAATCACGCGGAAAGGAGATGGTCAGTATTGGTCAGTTGTTATTATAAGATGTTATCGGAAAGACGGTTATTTCAGGTCAGCGGTTAGGGTTATTTAAGGTCAGCTGTTTGGGTTAGCGGCAAGAGGTCAGATAAGGTCAACTGTTAGAGTAAGTGTTAGCTATTTGTAACCAGTTAAGGTTAAATGTTAAGTTTAGAGAAAGTGATGCATAGTTAAGGTCAGTTGTTAGGGTTATGGAATGACGATCAGTTAAGGTCAGTTGTTAGGGTTATGGATTCGTGGTCAGTTAAGGTCTGTTAGGGTTAGCAACAAGATGTCAGTTAAGGTCATCTGTTAGGTTTAGGGACTAGAGGTCAGTTAAGGTCAGATGTTACCACTTAAGAACAGGGAAGTTTGTTAAAGAATAATTTATTGTCAAAGACACAGAGGTGTTGACATAGAGGTGTTGACATTGACATAGATGTGTTGACATAGAGGTGTGGACATAGAGGTGTTGACATAGAGGTGTTGACATAGAGGTGTTGACATAGAGGTGTTGACATAGAGGTGTTGACATAGAGGTGTTGACATAGAGGTGTTAATATACAGGTGTTGACATTGACATAGAGGTGTGGACATAGAGGTGTTGACATAGAGGTGTTGGCATAGAGGTGTTAATATACAGGTGTTGACATTGACATAGAGGTGTTGACATTGACATAGAGGTGTTGACATTGACATAGAGGTGTTGACATAGATGTGTTGACATAGAGGTGTTGAAATAGAGGTGTTGACATAGAGGTGTGGACATAGAGGTGTTGACATAGAGGTGTTGACATAGAGGTGTTGGCATAGAGGTGTTGACATTGACATAGAGGTGTTGACATAGAGGTGTTGACATAGAGGAGTTGACATAGAGGTGTTGACATAGATGTGTTGACATAGATGTGTTGACATAGAGGTGTTGACATTGACATAGAGGTGTTGACATAGAGGTGTTGACATAGAGGTGTTAAAATTGACATAGAGGTGTGGACATAGAGGTGTTGACATAGAGGTGTTAAAATTGACATAGAGGTGTGGACATAGAGGTGTTAAAATTGACATAGATGTGTTGACATAGAGGTGTTGACATAGAGGTGTTAAAATTGACATAGAGGTGTTGACATAGAGGTGTTGACATAGAGGTGTTGACATAGATGTGTTGACATAGAGGTGTTGACATAGAGGTGTTGACATACAGGTGTTGACATAGAGGTGTTGACATAGATGTGTTGACATTGACATAGAGGTGTTGACATAGAGGTGTTGACATTGACATAGATGTGTTGACATAGAGGTGTTGACATAGATGTGTTGACATAGAGGTGTTGACATAGAGGTGTTGACATACAGGTGTTGACATAGAGGTGTTGACATAGATGTGTTGACATTGACATAGAGGTGTTGACATAGAGGTGTTGACATTGACATAGATGTGTTGACATAGAGGTGTTGACATAGAGGTGTTGACATAGAGGTGTTGACATAGAGGTGTTGACATTGACATAGATGTGTTGACATAGAGGTGTTGACATAGAGGTGTGGACATAGAGGTGTTGACATTGACATAGATGTGTTGACATAGAGGTGTTGACATAGAGGTGTTGACATAGAGGTGTTGACATAGAGGTGTTGACATTGACATAGAGGTGTTGACATAGAGGTGTTGACATAGAGGTGTTGACATAGAGGTGTTGACATAGAGGTGTTGACATAGAGGTGTTAATATACAGGTGTTGACATTGACATAGAGGTGTTGACATAGAGGTGTTGACATAGATGTGTTGACATAGAGGTGTTGACATAGAGGTGTTGACATAGAGGTGTTGACATAGAGGTGTTAATATACAGGTGTTGACATTGACATAGAGGTGTTGACATTGACATAGAGGTGTTGACATAGAGGTGTTGACATTGACATAGAGATGTTGACATAGGGGTGTTGACATAGGGGTGTTAAAATTGACATAGAGGTGTTGACATTGACATAGAGCCGTAACCACCTATAATTTAACCCTTTTATCTAAAACTAACTGGTCAACAGCATGGACTCTTTTATAAATGGCGTCGCACTTATGGAGTGGGGGTGGGGGGGGGGGTCTTCGGACTTAAATTATTGTAGATGACAAGAAAGTGTTAGGTTAATAAGATTGTGTAATGTCATGCTGAGACATTTTAAAACTATATATTTAGCAGTTGTTTTTGTTTTTTTGTTTGTTTGGTTTTTTTTTTTTTTTTGGTTTTTTTCCAATCGTTTTTTTTTTCTTTTTTTTTTTGTAAAACGATAATATAAAAAAAAATGTCAGTGTAGTTGATCTTTTTAACGCTCAATCAATAAAAAATAATAATAATAATTTTTTTGGGTCGGCTCGAATATGACTATTTTTGAGGGGGGGGGGGGTGAATTGTTCTAACGACATAACGGCTAATCGATTTTCAAAAAAAATCAATCATGACATCATTTAATAACAACCCCCCCCCCCCACACACACACACACACATCATTATGTCAGCTCAAGAAATTGACCTAAAACAAATCCAAGGTTAACCCAAACGTGCAATCTTAGTTCAAGTGAAACAGCTTAAAAAGGGGAGGTAAAAATAAAATTACAAAATGCTCTTCACTAGTACATAATGCAAGGGAAACAACTGCAATAAAACGATACGTAATTTTCTACAAGTTGTCTTTCCTTGCAACTTCATTTGAATAAAAATGTTCGCTATAAATAGAACTAACGCAACACTTGCATTGAATATACTTGACTTGATTTTTTTTTCTTCATAAACAGGTAACAGAAGGTTAGGGTCAAAGTTCACTTAGAACCAGCTGCCGGTATTAAAATGCTAGGGTCAAGGGTCAGATAGAACGAGCCGCCTGTGTCAATATTTTCCCCACCTAGACCACCACCTTCTCCGTCAACAACGTAAGCCACAGTCGACTGTTCTTTGTTGATTTCTTTGGTACTTTAACTGCTGCTACTATCTGGTTAAGAATATTTAGGTCTTTAGGGCGTCACTAGGCAGAGTTTCTTTCATGCACGTCCACCCACACCCCCTCCCCCAAAACGAAATAGAATTTATAAAGACAAAAATATATTTACCAGTGTCCGCCCCACTCCCCCCCCCCCCTGGAAAATTCAGTCCGCCCCCCTGAAAATCCCCCCTCAGAAAACTGAGTACCCCCCTCTCCCCACGGTAAAAGAGGGGTTGGAGAGCTAAAACTGTGTGGTAAGGGGTGTGGGATCTGTAATGGTGGGGTAGGGGGTTGAGGAGCTGTAATGGCACCGAAAACGAAAAATTGAGGTAGGTACAGGTCTTATTACTTATTGGAGCTTGGTGGAAAAATAGGATTTTCTAGATGCGAAGTCAGTGTTTCTACCAGACTTCTTTCTCCGGTTGGGGGGGGGGGACACTTGAAATTTTCGGGGAGGGGGGCGGACTAAAATTTCTGGGGTGGGGGGACGGACACTGTTAAAAGTATATATTTTCTATATAAATTCCAGTTCGTTCGGGGGGGGGGGGGGGGAGAAGACTCACTTGGGGGGGGGGGATTCCTGGAAAAAACACTGTGCGAAACCCCTCCGTACACCAAGCTGAGAAGCCTTGATTAGACTGTCACACAGTGTTGCAGTGTTGATATAAATAGACATTCACAGTACCAACCACGTGTCACACTTCCGCTAGGGGGCGCTTGTGTTGGGCCCTGTACTGTGGGCTGTTGCGAGATGGTAGTCTAATGGGATGGAAACTACGTCAAGATTTATTAAAATAAGTTTGGGCTAGTGTTATGGTTTTGTTACAGTTGCTGCTATTGTAAGTTTAAAACATTATTTATTTTGCTACAGTAGTTCCCATGCGTTTGGTTGCTAGCCTGAAGGTCTCGAGTTCGGATCTCGGTTTGGATTTGGGACTGTACGACGTACTTGAGTCCACCCAGCTGTGATGGGTACCTGACTCACGTTAGGGAAAGTAAAATCTGATGGGCATAGTGCCGACCACACCATTCTTTTGGGCATAATGCTGACCACACCATTCCTTTATGTGCCGAGGTCAAGAAACATGAACTCTACTTCATCTACACAATGGATCATAGAGGAATCTTTACCTTTAGCTCCCACACCACCGGCGAGAAATTAAAAAAAAAAGATATCGCTAGTGCATGTGGCTAGCTTAGTTCCGACCCTAACACTAACCCTAACGATAATATATTTGTTTCCATTGTATGTTTCGTATGTACACAGGTACACAATGACGTCACATGGTGTGTACACAAGTTTCGCTCACGTCGACCGTCCGCCCGTCTGCTGGAGAGACCGACAGCAGACGACCTTCATGGAAGGTCAGGTCGGGTCAAGTAGAGGTCATCTACACCCTGCATTCCCTGCTCCCAGCATGCCAAGCCAGCTGGTATCCTACAGGGACCTGCGGCAGTTAACCACGCCCACAAGAGATGACAGGGACCTGCGACAGTTAACCACGCCCACGAGAGATGACAGGGACCTGCGACAGTTAACCACGCCCACAAGAGATGACAGGGACCTGCGACAGTTAACCACGCCCACAAGAGATGACAGGGACCTGCGACAGTTAACCACGCCCACGAGAGATGACAGGGACCTGCGGCAGTTAACCACGCCCACAAGAGATGACAGAGATCTGCGGCAGTTTCAAACCACGTACACACAAAATCCCAAAGAACTGCGTCAATTAACCACGCCCATCGGACATCAACAAACCACGCCCCTACGAGACGACAGAGAGCCACGGCAGTTAACTCCTCCCATAAGACATCAACCGACCACGCCCAGTCGAGATGATTGTCAACCCATCACCCAATCAAAACCCGTCTTTCATTTACCACAAGCTCGATCCCACACAACAGAATTCCTGACCCCGTCTCGTGACGTCACCAAAGCCCAGTCTACGGACCCGCCCCGGCCAAAGTACGTCCGCATTCCAGCTGGGCCTCGATCCTGCCCCCCTTGCAGCCCGACCACCAGGATCTCCCAGGACGCCTCCCCCGGGAAGAAGGCCATTTACTTCGAGGTCGACCACAAGGCCGATGACTCGACCATCTTAAGGAAGATCGGCAAACTCATTGAGCAAGTGGAGCGGCCGAAAGGTGGGTAACTAGCTTGCACAATTGGGTTAGCCGTACCGTACTCAAGGTTGTCACAGTTTTGTCTTCATTTGACAGACAGAATTCTATGCAAAAATGAGCACGTTTTTTTTTGTTATAGATATATCGCTTGGTAAAAGTAAAGGCCAATGAAATTAATCCTAACAAAAAAAAATGTCAATTTAGTAAACTAGCTGTCGTAGCTGATAAGCCTAAAGGTAGGTGAAGTAGAGATTATGTAATCGAGATCATCATGCTATGTTAAGGGTATTTATGGGGAAACTAAGTTGCCTTATAGTTGTAGGCCTACTTCTATTAAATGTTTTGTTTAGCCTTATCTTTATTTCTTTTTTTTTCTGTCCATTTATTTATTTATTGTTAACACATTGTTTTTATTGTTACCATTACTTCATCATTGTGTTTGGTTCTTTTATAGTTAGTTCCGTTCTCTGAGTTGCCTACCCCTCACCCTCTGACCTCTCACCTCCTCACCCTCTGACCTCTCACCCTCTGACCTCCCACCCTCTGACCTCTCACCCTCTGACCCCTCACCCTCTGACCTCTCACCCTCTGACCTCTCACCCTCTGACCTCTGACCTCTGACCTCTCACCCTCTGACCTCTCACCCTCTGACCTCTCATCCTCTGACCTCTCACCCTCTCACCTCTCACCCTCTCACCTCTCACCCTCTGACCTCTCACCTCCTCAACCTCTGACCTCCCACCCTCTGACCTCTCACCCTCTGACCTCCCACCCTCTGACCTCTCACCCTCTGACCTCTCACCCTCTCACCTCCTCACCCTCTGACCTCTCACCCTCTCACCTCCTCACCCTCTGACCTCTCACCCTCTCACCTCTCACCCTCTCACCTCTCACCCTCTCACCTCTCACCCTCTGACCTCTCACCCTCTCACCTCTCACCCTCTGACCTCTCACCCTCTGACCTCTGACCTCTCACCCTCTGACCTCCCACCCTCTGACCTCTCACCCTCTGACCTCTCACCCTCTCACCTCTCACCCTCTCACCTCTCACCCTCTCACCTCTCACCCTCTGACCTCTCACCCTCTCACCTCTCACCCTCTCACCTCTCACCTCCTCACCCTCTGACCTCCCACCCTCTGACCTCTCACCCTCTCACCTCCTCACCCTCTGACCTCTCACCCTTTCACCTCCTCACCCTCTGACCTCTCACCCTCTGACCTCTCACCCTCTGACCTCTCACCCTCTGACCTCTCACCCTCTCACCTCTCACCCTCTCACCTCTCACCCTCTGACCTCTCACCCTCTGACCTCTCACCCTCTGACCTCTCACCCTCTGACCTCTCACCCTCTGACCTCTCACCCTCTCACCTCTCACCCTCTCACCTCTCACCCTCTCACCTCCTCACCCTCTCACCTCTCACCCTCTCACCTCCTCACCCTCTGACCTCCCACCCTCTGACCTCCCACCCTCTGACCTCTCACCCTCTCACCTCCTCACCCTATGACCTCCCACCCTCTGACCTCCTCACCCTCTGACCTCTCACCCTCTCACCTCCTCACCCTCTGACCTCTCACCCTCTGACCTCTCACCCTCTGACCTCTCACCCTCTCACCCTCTGACCTCTCACCCTCTGACCTCTCACCCTCTGACCTCTCACCCTCTGACCTCTGACCTCTCACCTGGACAGGTAAATACAGAGATGACGCCGAACTCGTCCCTATCCTGGCACTCCAGAACCCGCCCAAGAGGAGAATCAAACGTCAGCTGTCGTCTGATTCCGACAGCCAGTCGTCTGCTAGCTCCAGTCTCAACTCATCCTGCACGCCCGACAAACTCCTAGGACTGAAACACGCGACCTCGAACTTTCCTAATGACCTTGTACCCAGTTCTGGGACAACCTTGACCTTCTCACAAAAACGGCTGAAATCTAGCCCCGAGTCTAATCAACCCCCGCCCTCCGGGCAGCAGGCCGCTTTTGACAATATCCTACACACAAACAAACCAACGCAAGCAAGGACTGACAATGAGAACCTACAACATTCTCCACGGGTGTCAAGCCCTCTTCAACTAAACAGACCTAGAACAAATTCTAATTTTAGACATCGCGTTGGGAATTCCCCATCAGAGATTTGGCCTCCACTCAGCTCATACGATACGCATGTCTTTGAGAGCCCCACGGCTATAAATAGCACCAGTCTTATTCCAGTGTCGCCGAAGACACACCGAGACGAACGGACGGTGGTCAAGAGAAACTTTGACCAGAACCCCCCACCCTCACACTCCCTCTCGCAGGTTAAAACCAGCGGTTACGTCATGCACGACCAGGAACCACTCACACAATCCACATCAAACGTCATCAAAACAACCACACACAGCAACCACAGAGAAAAATCTGTTATTTTAGGGAACAGATACAGAGACAAGGAACCTGAGATATTCGTGTTCCCGGATGTAAACCCTAGCGGTGGTTCTAAAGACGATGAAGTGGATGGGTTTGATTCCCCGATGGATATGGATGAAGACATGGATAACGGTTTTAACCACAGCCGTAGCCACTTCCATGGAAACAGTTACGTGGATAATTCCAATGGGTTCTCCCACATTCGCTACCAAACATCACAAACGTTCAACTCCAGTGGAGGTTCGAACTATGCCCAGTCCTGGTCCACAGGCTCATCACGGTTCAATAACGGTGAGACGAGTTATGGTACTAGAGGGTATCACCAGAATGCGTATCGTTACCATGACAACCGGATGGATGACCTTGACTCGGGTGGCGTCGCCCGCCACCGCCGAGCCGAAGTTTCCAGAACCCCACGTGACAACGCGAGCACCCTCCCCCCGGGGCTGGGCGAGGTCTTCGACGCCAGCGAGCCGGACGATTCGCCGTACGACGACGGTACCGGATGTAACGTGTACTCCGGCTGGAACAGCGGCCACAACTCCGGCGTCGTCGCCACCCGGGCCAGCACCCAGGTCAGCTGCGTCATCACGGAGAGCGAGCTGCGGCGTGCGACCATGACGTCACGGGATGACGACAGCAGCTACCTCGCGACCGACGGCTACGGCGACGATTATCTCCCCTTGCCGGGGGTTTACGACGGATGGGACGAGATGGACGGACCGGATGTCCACAACAGACATGCGCAGATCACACCGGAAATGAGACTCGCTAGATTACAAGTCGGGGCAGGCTATCACAGTACCGTACAGCCCAACTCCAAGAAAGGCAACATCCCACGGGATAAGACTACTGATGGAGATCTTTGTCCACAACAAAATAGAACCGAACAATTTTCTCAGGAAGATGCTTCACATCTAAAAGCCAGGCTACATAATCCTGTCCATCGCGTTTTGTCGACTGACAGGAAGAGATTCAACAACAAACCGGAAGTAAACGACACTCAACGCTACACACAGGAAGACGGATATACAGACTTAAGAGATTTTGAAAACGATTGGGTTTCAGCAGCGGCTGAAGGGGGTGTTACTAGACGGTCTCACAATCACACCAGGGACGGACAGCTGTTTTACGCCAAGGGGAGGTCCCCTGTCAGCTACACCAGTCACCCAGACGACTCAGGGGACGAGGTGGACGGGTTTGGCGACAAATCTAATCCGGAACCTGATCCAGGCACAAGTTCCAGCTCTAGCAACACGGTTTCTTGTTTTGGAACAAGTTCCAGCTCTAGTAAAATGGCCTCTTGTTCTGGCACAAATTCCACCAGTAACACAGTTTCTTGTTTCGGAACAAGTTCCAGCTCTAGCAACATGGTCTCTTCTTGTGGAACAAATTCCACCAGTAACACAGTTTCTTGTTTCGGAACAAGTTCCAGCTCTAACAACATGGCCTCTTGTTCTGGCACAAGTTCCAAGTCTAGCAAAGTTCCTGACGTTGTTCGTTGCCTTGAAAGAAATCCGCCGGCTGTGAACTCAACATCAGTTATTCGCCAGCCTAACGCCTCTAGAAATACCACGCAGGCCACTGTATCCAGTATCCACCAACTTCGGGCAGATACTCCATCCAGTATCCACCAACTTCGGGTAGATACTCCATCCAGTATCCACCATCTTCGGGCAGATAATGCCACATCTCCGGCACATCAACAATTACATTACACAAACTTCAGCAACAGTCTCCATTCAGAATTCGACGAAGATCCTTTACTAAACAAACCCTCTAAACCTAGAACAAACAATCCCCAACAAAGTGTGTTTGACTTTTCGAATTTTCAACCAAACCCAGTGGACTTAGAGAGTTTTCATAATAGACACGGAACATCCTCTGATTTTGAAGAAATTCTACCAAATAAAACAGAGATCAGAGCAAACATTTCGAATGTAAAATCTGCTGAAAAAACTCCAGCACAGTGCGTGTTTTCCTTGGATGACGTCATGTCCCCAAAACAGAACCCGATGGATCACGTGACCACGCCAACAGCGGAAGCGAGAGCGGAGAAAAGCGCGCCAAATTCAGCCAGGACTAGCGCAGACGCCAAGCACGACGTGCACCGCCGGGCGAGCGACGCGGGAATCGCTGTCGTCTGCAGCACCTCCAGCGCGCTGCCCCGGACTAGATCCTCCCCGTCTAAGCTGGGGACGGAACATCCTAAAGAGCATCGCTTCCACAGGCCGTGGATGTCCCCGAGTGGTCAACACTTGGCGCCAGCCACTAAGGTAACTATGACACGCGGGTAAAGGGGGAGTTACTGTTGTGAATTGTTGGCAACTGCTATGGTAACTATGACTGATGGGTTTTTGCTGTTGTATTTAATGTTGGCAACTACTATGGTAACTATGACTCTGGTGGGTTTTGCTGTTGTATAATTTTTGGCAACTACTATGGTAACTATGACTCTGGTGGGATTAGCTGTTGTATAATTGTTGGCAACTACTATGGTGACTATGACTCTGATGGGTTTTGTTGGTGCTGCTTGGTGTCAATACTAAGGTAACTATGACTCGACTGCGACTTTTCTAGTTTATATGCATACTGGAGACAAACATTATACTATCTATGACTTTTGAGATTTACTGCGGTTCCAGTGTTGATAAGCATTGTGGTAACTATGAAGCAAATATGTCTTGCTGTCTTTGGTGTAACTACGACACAAATTAAGTTTATTCGTCTGCTTGGTGCCAAGCATTAGGGGTAAGCATGTCACATGTGCGGTTGCTTTTGTGTGCTCCGCATAATGCAAATTCAGAAGTAAATATTACTACATTTATTTACCTCTTGCCAGTCGAATGATAAGCCTTAGAGTAGTACAGGCTGGCAGGGGCGTAGCGAGGGGGGGGCGGGGGGGGGGGGGGGGCGGACCGCACCGGGTGACACCATTTAGGGGGGTGACACCAAGGCAAAAAATAGCAAAAAAATTATAGAGAAAAACTCGAGGGGGGTGCAAATCGAAAGTTTGAGGGGGGGGGGGGGTGCAAATCGAAAGTTTGAGTGGGGAGGGGTGCAAATCGAAAATTTGAAAGTTTGTCCCTGGGAAGGGTCTCTATGCCTCTGGGGGGGGGGGGGGGTGACACCATTAAGTGCCGCACCGGGTGACACCCGACCTCGCTACGCCACTGCAGGCTGGGTATTTTCTTTAATGTTTTACTGCCACAAATTTACGTTATTTTATCTGATTTTGTATTTGTGTTGCAACTAAATTAAATTTCAATCAATTCGCTTAAAATAAATTTTAGAAAGCTGAGACACAAAGCGAACGATTGGTCAAGGATGAGAAACACGACCTAACTAGCCAACACCGTGACAGGTCAAAGGTCAAACAGCGGCCCCACCCCCACACAGAACACCCTGACCCAGCAGGCGACGACCAGACGACTTTGAACATCCGCGAAACTTTTGGCGCGTCTGCTGACAGACCCAGGAAAAAAATTCACCGTCGGCTGGAGTTTCCCCATGACGATAACCTCACACCGGGGGAAGCCCCACACACATTCTGCTTCCCGGAAACCAGTACTCCGTACAGCCAATCAGAACGAGTGTTACAAAACTCGGAGCAGCCAATGAGAAATCTGGAGGCTGATGTTGTGAGCAGGGAGAAGCGGGCATATGCCGGGGCAGAGCAGGCGGGGCCGTCGATGTTGCAGACGGGCACCAAAAGACCACGACAAGACAGTAAGTTAAAGTTTTATAACATGGCACCACACAGTAGAAGCCCCCTTCCCCCGCACCAAAACTCCATCGCAGATTACTATATTAATATAACTTAGCCTCATTCTCTCCATCTGTTTGTGACCAGAGGCGTAGCAACGGGGGGTACATATGTCCCCGGGCGCCGACCCTAGGGGCGCCAAAATAAGCCCATTTTAGCTGCTATTTTAATTATAAATATTAAAAAAAATATACGGGGGTGGCGCCAAATTGAAAGTTTGTCCCCTGGCGCCGGGAGGGGTCGTTACGCCTCTGTGACACATTTTGATGGTGTCTGACTTTTGAACTAGCACTATTATTCTTGTTGCAACGCTAAAGATAGATAATGCACAAAATAATTACTAAAGACCTTGTAAACGATGCGACTGTTGTTACATAAACCTGTATAACAGTGCAAAATTCGAATTATTTGTTTCTATAAATAGACGAGATCGACATCAAGGTGAAGGTTAGTGACGTCATGCAGGAAACGAGAGAGCTGGGTGAAAAGTTGGAGAAAATTTACCAAAACACGGACCGGAGCTGCGAATGCGGGCAGGTGGAACAGGATGTGCTTGGTGTTGCCATGGAGATGTTCAAGTAAGATTTCGTTCACTCGCATATGTTTGTAAACAAATGACCAATGGCTGATTTGTAACTCACCTCTGAGTGCCAGGAAAGTTTAGTAAAATATTGTTACGGAAATGACATGCGTACGATTAATGTAAAAAATTAATCCGACTAATCCAATGATGGTTTTGAGGTCTTTCAATAATGACGTCATGCTTTTTTTGGACGATTTTTACCTCCTCCTTCCCTAACATCGTCACAAAAGTTAAGACCTCCAAAAAATTACGTCGTATTTCAGCTTGTCCTTTCCCTCCCCCATATTGCACATTCAGTGTCGTGTCGCGATGATTTCTGTATCAAATATTTACCAAGCTGGGTCGAAGTTGCATTTATTGATCAGTTTTTATAACGGTTAAAATAAATAATTAACAATACTAAATACCTGCTCAAATTCAGTTTCAAAAATTAGGGGAGAGTGCGTGTGTGCGTTGAGTTTACCCTAGAGTATTGTTAACCCCGGTGTGTTTATGAATTGTTATCCCAAGATCGAATGCAGTATAAAAGTTGGAGTGAACGGTTTTAAGCGTTTAGTTGGTAGCGGTTAGGGCGAGGACGACCCTGTAACGTTGGACGTGAAACTAAATAAAAGTACACTATATGTGTCACGAATCGTTATTGTTGAATTGAATCGAATCCGGACGTAACAACGGTAAAAGCATGACGTCATACTTTCTGATCACCCCCTCATTTTTGTATGTTTCTTACGTGATGTATGCCTGAAAAAAACACGGTTTATTGGTTTCCTACCCCCCCCCCCCCCTTACTGATCGTCCAATCTTTCCTAAACTCCAGAAAACTCTGCGAGGAACCGTACACGGGGCCCAACTGGCACGCTGACCTCCACCAGATCAACCTGACCATCAAAGACAGCCTTGACATTGCCCAAAGCCTGCGTCATCTCTGTCGTCACGGGCGACGGGTCAGCGACGTGCTCCAGGGCAGCGTCCTGATCCGGGTCAAGTGCGCGACCTTGACCTCCGTGCTTGACCTCTGCGCCATGGCGGCCAGCGGCGAGCTGCAGGTGCTGCTGTGGACGATCCTGTGCTGTGGCCAGATCAAGTTCCAGAGAGGTTTGACCTTGAGCGTGACCTTGGACGCGACTAGTGTCAGACATTGCAGCCAGTTTCTGTGTAAGTTTTAGAGATTTCATGTCAGACACAGCAGTTTCTGAGTAAGTTTCGAGAACATTGTAAAGATGTGCGTATTTCTTGCAATGTCGCCCTTAAAAATCTACTTTATACAGTGACGTAGGTTTAGAGGGGGTGGGGGTGAACCAATACCTTGTTATGCCACTGCCTCTGGTCTAACACTGTTTTTATGTCCACAGTGAAAACACTTTCACCATCTGTCAAGTTGATACCCAGCCATAGAAAGGTGAGAGAAAAACTTTTATTGAAATAATGTCGTGTGCTGGAGAGGGGTGTAAGGGTGTTTTTTTTTTTTGAAGGATTTTTAATGTTACTGTCACTGTTAAGGAAATTTGCATAAATAATATTAATTAGCTAAATTCCGTGATATTAATACTTTTCATACTATATACCACTGTTTGGGTCCTTATGTCCACAAGTGCAGATGAAGTAGAGTTCGTCTGTTTCTATTGTAAGGATAAAAAGCAATGAGTGACTTTCCTTTTTACAATCGTTATTTTTTAATTATTCAGGCGTCATTTAATTTTTTTTTTTTTTTTTTTTTTGTAAACGTTGATTTTAATTCCCCGAACAGGACAGTCTAAAAACTGTTACAAATGTGTTGCAAAAATCTTTTATCTGTGATTATTGAAAAAATTGTTTCAGAAAAGTCCTACTAGTAAAAAATCTGGCAGTGCAGAGAACTTGGTGACCCAAATACAGAGTTGCCACCATCGATGTTTTAGGTGGGTACACATTTTTTTTTCACTCAGTAAACAGACGATAGCCTATTTGTTTCTAGTTAATTCTGAAGTGTTTTGTTTTTATTTTGTATATTTATTTATGCATTAAACGAAACGATAAATGAAAATACGAAACGACTAACAAAAATGTTTAAATTTAAATATCTGGTCATGTGTTGACATTCTATTTTTAGCACGCCGGTTCTAAGTGATTACTCCCCTTTGATGAGTCCCGCGTCTGCGCAGTGTCACGCCAAGAGGGAGAGGAAATTTTCTTTCGGAGAGACGGCTCGGCGGGCGTTTCAGGAACTGTAAGTGGCGTCTCTATAGGGGGTGTGGGGGTAGGGCAGACAGGCCTTGCAGGAACTGTAAGTCTCACAACAATAGCCGGGCTCAGTGGCGTCGCTTCAGGGGGTGTGGGGGTAAGGCAGGCAGGCATTTCAGGAACTGTAAATCATAAACAGGCAGGCTCGGTGGCGTCGCTATGAGGGGGGGGGGGGGGGGTAGGGCATACAGGCATATCAGGAACTGTGAGTACTAAAATAAAACGTTAAGCAACTAGGCGTACTTTATTTGTTGTTAGTTCAAAGGATATAGAATTGATTACATAGAACGCTATAACAGCCTTATAATGTCTGTATTCATTTGTTTTCCCAACCACACATATTTGCAGCAACCTCTCAGACACAGACACCCCGACGTCCCCCATCTGCATCACCCCCAACAGTCACGTGCCCAAACACATGCGCAGCCCCAAGCTTGTGACGTCACCCCTGTCACGCACGTCACCGCTGACGTCACCGCTGCCTTCGCCCCGAAAAGGAAAACGTTGCGAAAGCATACAGGAGCAAGAGAACATTATCGGCGATCATGTGACGCTATGACGTCACCAGGGTCATATTGCAGGCGTGACGCTGTGACGTCAACACGATCATAGAACTGCCAAAACACATGACGCTATGCTGTCCATTGTAGGGTGTATCACTCTATCAAGAATGTATCTTATGGGAAGTTAAAACTCATTCGTGCCAGATCGAGACAACTGTGACGTCATAACGTCAGATTTTAAAAAGAAGACACTGTGGAGGCTCTAAAGACAGACACCCAAGTCACGTGCCATTAAAAGGTTAAAAGTCGGCGAAAATACCGAAATTTTAAAAATAATTGTATTATTGTGTACATAGTTTTCCAGGCGTTTTGTAAGAGCTTTGTATTTTGAAGCAAAGTGTGTTTACATACATTTTAAGCTTTAACATGGAGATTCGACTGCAATTTTTAACTGGCTTTTTCACTTTTTGTTTTAAAGATATTAAGAAATAAACTGCTTTGTTGATACAATTGTTTTGTGTATTCAAATATATATATATATATATATATATATATAGGATATATATATATAGGATATATATATAGGATATATATATAGGATATATATATAGGATATATATATAGGATATATATATATATAGGATATATATATATATATATATATAGGGGTTTTTAAAACACTGATGAAGAAAGTACTGTTTCATTTAAGTGAACAGAATTTTTATTAAAGGCAAAAAGATCTTATTATCTTGATGTTCTCAAATTTTAAGTGATTTCTGTTTAGCAGAAATAGTACTTTACAGTATTTAAACACTTCTACTGGACCCATTTGTTTCATACTTTTCACGTAAGTAAAGACTCGGTGATAATCCAATGTGATATGTGACTTAATCAAATGCCTAATTAATGTTTGAAAAATAAATCAATGTTTCTGTTATAAAGTACCATTTTTCCGCTCAATTATGCACACAATTTTACGTTAATCTTGGTACATAATTCTTTTTTCTACTCAATTTTATTTTATTTAAAAAAAAAAAACATTTCTACTGCATTACAAGTGCAACCCCCTTATTATATAAGGATATACAAGAAAGTTTACAGGAAATCACTTTGGCTTTATTGTTGTATCGAACCCCAACAGTATCACATGAGAATTCACCCAACCCTTCTTAAAGTTCTATTGTCCGCACTGAAAAAATTCAATCGGAATCTTATCTGTCAGTGAGTCTGGTGTGTGTCTTGACTTCCGCAGTAAGTTTGCTTTTCTGCTTCAGTCAAGCATTTTCCTTCTAAACTATAGACAATTCTTTATAATAAATCATCTTTTTTAATGCATATTCATCTTCTGTAATTATCCAAAAAAATTGAGATCACAAACCATAAATGCTAAAACAACAAAAAATTTCAAAAAGTTGTTTATTACCTGATATTCTCCATAAGAAAAAGTATATTAACAAGTATTTTTAACCAAATTTAAAAAAAAAAATCCCATCTTCTGTACATGAATTTAAAGAAAATATTTCAGCTAATTTTTTGAACAACATGTTTAAACATTATGCTTCCACGGATTCTTGACATTTATAATTTAGAACTAAAGGAATGGCTTAAAAAAAAAAACAGACATTCTCACATACCAGCTTTTTTATTATTTAAATGCTTTTAGAAAAACTCGGAACATTTCTTTTTAAAGAAACAATTATAAAAGGAGCTGACAAGGATATTGAAAGATGTACTCTATATAAATTGTATTTTATAAAAACAAGTTGTTTAAACTTAATTTACACTTAATTCAGTTCTTCAAAAAAAAAAAAAAAAAACAGGAATAAAATTTAGCTTCTAATTAATGAAAGAGTGACAGTTTAAAAATTGTTAAAAATTAAATAAAATGGGCTAAAAAAAGGTATTTTAAAAAAGCATAAAATGATGCCAAGCTTGCGAGCCTGGGGTGAGCCGATGTGTCCCTAGTGTCTTGTAGATCCGACTGGTTGACAGGGGAGAAGATCTGATGGTGGGGCAGCCATGACTGGATGGGAAAGCTTCAACAACAACAATGGCAACCTAAGCTGCTCCAGTTAATGGCTTTCTCCTTTTTTCCCAGCCACCTACACAAACAAAAAACAATTTAGTTTAGTAGCCTCTTTAAAAAAAATGGGCATAAAAACTACTTCATTTAGAGAACGTAAAAAAAAAAAAACAGACCAGAATGCAAAAGCCAACTTTGTTAAAAAAACATTTTTAAAAAAGATTGTTAACAGAAAAAAATGTTAATGTTACTTAATAAAAGTTTCAAATTAATCAAAGCAAATAGAAGAAATGATTACCCTCTTAAACTCTGCCATATTTGTCATGTTAGTTGGAGATCCTATGAAACTCAAATAATCAATACGAGTTGTGTCAGCGCCATTCTGATTATCTTTTATAAACAGCTGTTGCAGAAATAATGTTAAAAAAAATTACAATACTTTTTGATCAGCAAATAATTTTACATACATTTTTTAATTATTGGTATTTTTAATATTAGTTTAATCTGCACATATTTGGAAAGAAAAATGCTTTACTTGTAGTATGTTTTAAAACCAGCTAACTAGTACAATTTTGTATAATTAAGCAATTAAAGAAATAAAGCTTCAGAAAACAAGATTTCCTTCAGAAAATGTATCAAAATTATAATTCCAGTACAGAAATGTTCTTGCATACAATATAAATTAAATTTTTTCTATCAAGTAAAAATGCCCTCTGTAAAGTGTAACAACAAAGACTTACAGTCAAACTTAGAACATTTTGTAACTTGACATATTTCAGTGGTATAATGGCATTCTCTTCAAGGTCTTCAGGTTTGAGCCTGGGGGTTATAAATAGAAAAAGAGATTTAAAACTTTTTTTTATAAATAAATATATTCACAAGTTTTTAAGAATAATGAGCGATGTATTATTTGGAAATATTTTGCTGTTAAAACTAAAAATGTAATTTAGTCATTGTAATTAATAATATATTATCATTTCAATGTACCGCAACCATATGACTTTGAAGGGACAGACAGTACTAATAAAAATAAGAAAATCCATGTGGACTTTGAACGAAAATCTACCCACAACAACAGGTAAAGTACATCTCCAGAAGAACATCTGCCGCCAACAAATGCTCAACAAACAACTTACTCTAACATCTGTATTGGTTCCACAAACAACTTACTCTAACATCTGTATTGGTTCCACAAACAACTTACTCTAACATCTGTATTGGTTCCACAAAAAACTTACTCTAACATCTGTATTGGTTCCACAAACAACTTACTCTAACATCTGTATTGGTTCCACAAACAACTTACTCTAACATCTGTATTGGTTCCACAAACAACTTACTCTATCATCTGTATTGGTTCCACAAACAACTTACTCTAACATCTGTATTGGTTCCACAAACAACTTACTATAACATCTGTATTGGTTCCACAAACAACTTACTGTAGCATCTGTATTGGTTCCACAAACAACTTACTCTAACATCTGTATTGGTTCCACAAACAACTTACTCTAACATCTGTATTGGTTCCACAAACAACTTACTCTAACATCTGTATTGGTTCCACAAACAACTTACTGTAGCATCTGTATTGGTTCCACAAACAACTTACTCTAACATCTGTATTGGTTCCACAAACAACTTACTCTAACATCTGTATTGGTTCCACAATCAACTTACTCTAACATCTGTATTGGTTCCATGGAATCAGCAGAGTCAAAGTCCAGTGTGGTTGGCTGGTTTATAAATAACTTGAGATTTTTTGGTCCATTGCCTGAAATATCAAGTTTTAAACGAGTGGATTCAGTTGGCTAAAAGAAAGACATCTTGTAAACCAATCAACAACAGTGTAACAGATGAGTAGTTAAAGGGAACTAACCTTGAGTACAATGCAGTTTTAATGAATGAAGTTTCACTGTCTGGTTGAAGCCAACATTTATAATCAGCTGAAGCAAAAAGATAATTTGTCCTAAATATTTTTAAAATTGTTAATGTCTACATTAAAATGATTTTTTTACCATTTCATGCATAAGAACTAAAATAGCAATCCATTTAAATACTTGATTATGATGTATAATTATTAACTTTTAAACTGGGAACCAAAATAATAAAATTTACTACTAAATCGTGAAGCTAATTTTTGAAAACGCATAATCAGTACTAAAATATTTCCCAAGAAAAATAAGTATGTTTATGACCACAACAATACGAATGTATGTTGTTGTTATGAAAACATCCAGATATGTGCTAGAGTTACCTGCTCATCACAGTCTGACTCGAGGTAGCCTCCCTTGTTAGAAAGACAATGTTCAAGCTTGTGGTCATCAGATTCATTCAAGCATTCACTGGAAGATTTGTTGATCATAGACGACAGGTCCATCTGAGCAAAAGTTTAATAAAACTTGAGACAGTTATAACAAAACATTCAAGCATTCACTGGAAGATTTGTTGATCATAGACGACAGGTCCATCTGAGCAAGAGTTGCAATAGTTTCAATAATAAAATGTGAGACAGTTATATTATAATAAAAAATTTTAAATGTTGTAAAGTGTTATACAAAGTATTAACTGCATGTAATGAAGGTGAAGTGAGTGGGAGACAAAACACAAAAATAATTTCTCTTTAAGTTTAACAAATATTAAACACTGACAAAACATGACCAAAGTGTAACCGACCTAAGAAAAAGCCATGTAAGTTTAACTCTGCCATTTCTTTAAATGAAAAAGCAGAGTTCCATTAAAACAGAAAAAATATAAATGACGTCAAGTTGATGAGCCAAATTTTACCCCAACCCATGGAGCTACACAGCCACACAACAAATATTATCAAAACTTCGGTCTAAAACCCCAATCATCTATCCAATAATTTTTTTAGGACTGCCTGCATCTTCTGACTAGCTTTATGAATTATGAAAAATAGTGGATAACATCTAAAGGAGGGGAAGATACGACCATTTGAAATACGGGTAGAAAAACAGAAAAATGGATCAGCTGAAAAGATTTCTGATGTTTTTTGAAAAAGTCTGTCTGCGGAAAAGTATTTATTTTTTTTTTGCAGAGGAAAATCTCCAATTTTTTTTTGGAGGAAACCTTATGCAGATGGATAAAGCAGATTTCTGAAAAAAGCAGTAACATTCAACTCTGTAAAACTTCAATAGCTAATGGACCCTTCACAGGGAATAGGGAAATAAGCATTTCTTTGTATTGTTACAAGGCAATAGTTCAACATCAAACTCTGGCACCAGGAGATATCAGACATATACTTACATGACCCTTGACCGGGCTGTCTCCCTCCTCTCCTTCGTCCTCTGTGTACCATTTCTTGATTTTCTCTTCCAGGAGACTGGCATCTGCACCCCGCATCAAATCAATCTTAATTTTGTTACGGTAAAATATAAAGGTCGGCATCGCTGAAACGCCTTCACGCTGAGCAGTATCCTGAGAAAGAAAAGAAAATCGCCCTGAAATTACCAGGTGTCTGCCACAAGATAGTGGAATTCAGAGCTTTGTTCACCATAACAAAAAATTTACACACATTAATTCTTGTATTTTGTTAATGAATAAAAATTAAAGCTGAGTAAACAAAAGAACTATAAGAAAAGAAGTGTTAGTTGTTGTAATCTATGAATCTATATATAATATTACTCCTAATAGAATATTACCTCCAGCAAAAAACTAAATAGCTATATTTTTTGTGGTACTAATTTAACTAAATAACAACTGTCTTCTTTTTTAGATCTTCATCTTCTTTGTTAGTTATGTTGAAAATTTCTTCCAAAAATACTAAGTATTTCACGTCAACATGTTATAAGCTATATGACCTGTTGACTCTGATTTCTGTCTGCTTTTCTTTCTCTAAATTTGCTATAAGGCAGTAGTTGTTAAGATTTTTGAGTTTTCTCTCCTATATGTGTTGCTGTTTCCAGTTGTTGAGTCTCATCTGCTCAGGTAAATTTACATTTAACTAACCCATTTTTCTTCAGTCTCCTGTTAAGTAAAGTTTCCCTTTCAAACCTGACGGTCTATGGGGCAAGTGAAGTAGAGTTCACTTGCTTCTGTGACCTCGGCGTATGAAGAGATAGTGTGGTCAGCACTATGCCCAGCCGCCTTTACTCTCCCTAACGTGAGTTAGGTACCCATCAGAGTTAAGTGGACTCAGGGACGGTCTACTGACTTGAACAGGGATTTGAACTCAAGACATACATGTTAGCAGTCAAGCTCTCTACCGGTAGACCACTCCGTCCCTCTCCAGTTAAGGGTGAGTAAAAAAAAAATGTATAGTCAAGTGAGACCAACCTGGCATTGATCCACATCAACTTTCAAAAAAACAGCTTTGGGGTATCTGGTGCTCATGTCAGCAAATGCTGGTGCAATTGCTCGGCATGGTCCACACCTGTTGTCAGATACGTTACAAGAAATAAATTAGCCATTCAAAAAATAAACATGTTCATTGTGAATATCACCAAGCCTTACTGTATCCTCCAATAAATGTCTCTCTATCAGAAATTAGACAACATTTTCAAGTAGTAAAGAATTAAATAAACATTTTTCTATCAGATATTAATGTATATTACCAAGCATTACTATACCCTCAAATATATGTCTCTCTATGACTACTATAAGAAATTAGACAATATCAAGTAGTAAAGAAATAAACATTTTTCTATCAGATATGAGTGAATATTACCAAGTGGCAAAATAATCTGCCACGACCAGCTTGATGCCAGCATTTGACAGCTCAGTGAGAAAATCAGCGTCATTGCTTATTTGATGTACATTGGCCATCTTTTGATGAAGTTTTGTTTTTCAGCCAATCAGGATTACCTGTAAGGAATTAGCTTTTCAAATGAATCATTGAAAGTAAGAATCAATAACAGTTGAATACATAATTTTAGTTTGTCAAATAAATAATAATGCAAAACTATTCCTTTTAAATTTTATTTTTAAAAATCTGATTATTTTTATTCTAAAACTGACTTGATAGGCCACGACTAATTCAATCCTTTACTACTAAATATAAGGTGTAACTGATAATGGCTTAACTTTGCATAACAAAGTTAATTTTTGTATATAAGTCAATGCAACAAGCCTAGCAGTTGGTTGAGACCACACCAGGGGTTTGTTCTGCTAGGGATGCAAAGGGTCAACTCAAAATTTTGTCAAAAGTGTCTTACAATTTGTTTAAATGATTATTTAATACAACAGGCCTAGTATTTTTTTTAGATTATTTATGTCAAGGATACTCATGATTATGATAACTTATTACAGAAACAAATAAACAAATGCATTTTAATACTTGTGGGTCTAAACTTTATTTTATTATTTATTTTTCTGAAATAGCTTACATGTTTCATATGGATTGCTAGCAATACATCACATTAGATTAGTTAGTTAGGCCTATAAAAAAAATCAATCAGCAGTAACATCACCATTGGGCTATAGTATATTTATTACGCCTAGTCTATTTAATACTATTTATATCACATTAAGATGAGGTTTAATACTTTGGAATGGCTACTAATTTGTCTTAAAAATCTGAGGGATCTGTCTGCTAGAGATAAAAACAAAGGATCGACTTGATATATCGACCACTTCTGGAATCTAGATTTTAGATCTATATTTACTTGTACAAAATAGTATAATACTCCGAGAATGAATAGATAGGCCTACCGAGAACCCTTCTCGGAGAAGGGAAAATAATTATAATTCAAAAAGAAATTCCCACAGGTGACACCACAGACTAGAGTAGTCCATTAGTCAATACTAAATCTAGAATTGAATGAAAAGTGAAAGAAAACTCATTGGGAAGAGTAACACTGACAACACTTCAGAAGCTAGTGTAGTGGCTACTGAAATTCTGAATGGAGGTGGGAGTGGGAGTGAACTCAGTCTAGATGATTCGAATGTTTCAATGTAAGGATATTGACTCATTATCTTTACCGAGGTAAATTAGTTAACTACACCAAGTAAATAGTAAGTTATTTTTGGCTGTGTAGGTTAAGGTTGTTTATTTTTTTCTGTTTCACTTACGAAAACTACTGTACAACTGTAGTTTAGTGTACAGTTACTAGCCTAGTAATTTTCGGTTTGTGCATGAGAATGCATTTCCGGTAAGTACAACTACTCTTCTGTCTTAGCAGTTTCCCTTTTCAATCGCATTCTTACGGATTCTAAATATAATTTTAATTTTTCTTTAAGTGTCGTTATTATTATTAAATTGATATTATATCGCAGTGTTGCAAATATCGCAGCGGTTCCAAACACCATTTTCATTAATCTTGAAATTACAATGATAAAGTTTTAAATATATCTGAAAAGACTATCTCAAAAAGTAATATACAAGTAATTTTAATATTTCTTTTTCAAAGATTAAACCTAATCATTGAAAAAGTATGTTTCAAAATTAAACGAACGGTGGCTACCTAATCACTTTTATACCATCCGTAGGGGGGGGGGGGTGATGGTGTCGTCACCGTTTCCCTCCTCTGCCCATGGAGTAGACCAAATGTAGTTCCATCAGACAACCAATCGTAAATTTTAAACAGAAAACTAACTACCAAAATGTTGACTGCTCCGTCCAGTGACACCTTTACATTTACTCGCTACTAAATAAGTAAAAACAAAAGTGGCGATTCAAATGTAGGCAGGGGGCAGCGTGATTGAGTGATTGTTTTTTTCCTGAAGTCCCGAGTTCAAACCCCGCGCAGTAAAGGCTCATGAACTGGGGGTAGCAACTTATCTGGGTGGACAAAAACCCTCCAAAATCAAACAACTGCAGCCTTAGTTGTTTGTTCTTGGATGGACAACGACTATGGAAGCTAATTAAATAAGTAAAGCAGACGGATATCGGAATCAACGCTTTTATATGGCGCACAACATGATGACGCGTACGTGGTCAGCTACTACTGTCCAGTCAAAGTTTAACAAGAAGGTTACGGTCAGTGTTTCTTCCAGACATTTATATAGAAAATATATACGTTTAATAGTGTGTGTGTGTGTGTCCCCCCCCCCCCCCCCCGGAAATTCGGAAATTTTAGTCCACCCCCTCCCTCCCCCCCCCCCCCCCCCCGGACAAAAAGTCTGGAAGAAACACTGGTTACGGACACGATGGTACTGAATTTTTTTTTTCTAAATGATGACTTGTGTGTGTGTGTGTATGAAGCCAACAATCGTGGTGATTCCCCTTATAGCCTCACCTTGTTACATAACGAGTGGCTTTAAAAAGCTAGACCAATCCTTTAAAATTTCCGAAACTAACGTTATAAATTACTCGAATTTTTACATAAAATTACCTCCTATCTTATTTTTAAAGTACACCTCTGACCCCTCCCCCATAAAGCACACTGTCATAAAGGTCAGGTAAGTGACGCGATTCCCCCCCCCCCCCCCACCACACACACACACAAGCACTATACCCTACTGCAAATGTGCCTACCTGACCAACTGCTAGTATAAATAGTCTGATTATGAGTCAATGATTTGTAAAAGTTGTTATTGTAAACACTTTGTAATAGTGTAAGTGGGCCTGTTCGTTTTATTTATTTCTGTCACGCAGTAGTCACTAGTCAACGACAGTTTAGTATGTTGATTGCTAGTCTGACAATTTAGTATGTTGATTGCTAGCCTGACAGTTTAGTATGTTGATTGCTAGCCTGACAGTTTAGTATGTTGATTGCTAGTCTGACAATTTAGTATGTTGATTGCTAGCCTGACAGTTTAGTATGTTGATTGCTAGCCTGACAGTTTAGTATGTTGATTGCTAGCCTGACAGTTTAGTATGTTGATTGCTAGCCTGACAGTTTAGTATGTTGATTGCTAGCCTGACAGTTTAATATGTTGATTGCTAGCCTGACAATTTAGTATGTTGATTGCTAGCCTGACAGTTTAGTATGTTGATTGCTAGCCTGACAGTTTAGTATGTTGATTGCTAGCCTGACAATTTAGTATGTTGATTGCTAGGCTGACAGTTTAGTTTGTTGATTGTTAGCCTGACAGTTTAGTATGTTGATTGCTAGCCTGACAGTTTAGTATGTTGATTGCTAGCCTGTTTAGTACGTTGATTGCTAGCCTGACAGTATGTTGATTGCTAGGCTGACAGTTTAGTATGTTGATTGCTAGCCTGTTTAGTACGTTGATTGCTAGCCTGACAATTTAGTATGTTGATTGCTAGCCTGTTTAGTACGTTGATTGCTAGCCTGACAATTTAGTATGTTGATTGCTAGCCTGACAGTATGTTGATTGCTAGCCTGACAATTTAGTATGTTGATTGCTAGCCTGTTTAGTACGTTGATTGCTAGCCTGACAATTTAGTATGTTGATTGCTAGGCGTGTTGACCAGTGGTGGTCCCCTCACGGTCAGTGAGTATCACCAGTAGACCCAGACACACGGGGAGCCTGTGGGTGGTAGATCGACGTCAGATTCTTACAGGGTGATATGTCTTGGTCTTGCCAGCAGTGTTTCTCCGGGGGAGGTGGAGACTTGATATTTTCGGGGGGGGGGGGGGGAGGGGGGCGCGACTACATTTTCCAGGGGGGGGGGGAGAGAGAACACTGGTAAAAGTATAAAGTATATTATTTATGTAAATATTTCGTTCGGGGGTGGGGAGATGCCTGGAAGAAACTCCGCTTGCCAGACGTCCCTAAGACAAATTAAATAAGTAATTCGTATGTTAAACATGAGTTGTTGCTTTTTAAGTTAGCATAAGCTATCGTGGTATTTCAACACCTTAATAAGACAAATATACAGGTATTATAAGGACAGAACAGTAGGCTATGATTAACTGATTCATCACTCATTGAGTCATTACCCCCACTTTATATATCCCTCACGCCCTGTCAACGCCTATATCATCCACACCCCTATTTACGCCTCTATCCTTCACTCCTCATATACACGCCTATATTTTTCACCTCTGACCTTCGACCGATCGAAACCCAGACACCAGCGAACTGGAACCACAAACGACGCCATAACAAAACTTCAATCGAATATCTATAAATAGCTCCCACGTGACACCGATCACAAATGAATGAACCGCGCAGTAGCTTGATTCACCACGAGAACGTCTCAAGAATTTGACGAACCTCCGTGTAAGCTTCCCCCTCACAGCAGACGTGATCTACACCTCTGTACCTGTCCGCCCGCGCCTCTCCGACTTTCAACTCATTTATTAACCCCCCCCTCCCCCATTAAACACCCCCCCCTTTCCCTGTCTTGACACATGAATTGTCTGTGACCAAGCCTCAGTCTTGATCCGTCCCATACCGGTGGCGAACATTCCCCCCACCCCTCCCTCCCCCGTCCCCTCGTGGTTTCACACCTGATAGATTTTGAGATCGTGTAGCGTCAGTGGGGCCTTATCGCATGGACTGAAATATTCTGTTCATTCACGGGGGATATCTGTAAGCACTCTAAGGTAAGAAAGTCAGTTTATATCATGGTTAGTAGTGTGTGTGTTCTGGTTATAGCACCTGTGTAATAAAGTCAACAAATAACACTCGGCGAGGCGGGAAACTCGGATTTTTACCCGATGCTTTGTTTTGTTCATGTTTCAACTACGGTTTACTGCGGGTTTTTTATCAACAGCTTAAATAATATAAATACAGTAGGATTATATTCTTAAATCTAGTGAAAATTTAAGATAATCTTCTTAACATAAAGGTAGGATTACAACTTAAATTTTTATCAACAAGGTAGATAATCTGAAAGGTAAGATTATATTCTTAAATCTTGTGAAAAATTAAGACAATCCTCTTAACGTAAATGTAGGATTACAACTTAAATTTAGTGATAAAGGAATATAATCATTCATAAAAGTAGTAGATCTATTACCATCTGTCTTCGCTAGCGCTTTCAACGTAGTCTTGATAATGAAAGTAAATTCTTAGAAAAATATCTGTTCTGCTTCATACTGGCCTAAGGTCACAAGGTGTGTATGTGTGTGTGGAGGGGGGGGGGTAATGTTCTTTTTTCCTTTACTATATTCTTTTTTAACATTATTTTTTTTTTACATTGGGGTGCAAATCAACCAATTCTACATTAATCAAAATCAACCTTAAGCCTTCAACATAATCCCAAGTATTACTTTATTGTAAACCATTAAACCGCGCCAGTTGCCTTAGCCTTACCAGATAATTAAATGTTAGAAGTTGGTGTGGTTTAGGGTTAGGGTTAGGTTAGGCCAGTGTAGACGCGGCACAACTGCAACATTTAAATACAAAATTTTAAAAACCCAGCCGCCTTTAAGATCTTAACATGGCCGTAAAACTTAATACAAAGATTACATGAAAAAATTTGCATATATGCAAATTGTTCTGGAAAAAATGTGGACACTGATTGAAGACGCTAGTTAACACAGTCGGCATTCCAGGAGCGTGCCCACAGTAGGCGAGAGGTGCACTGGTAGTAGGCGAGAGGTGCACTAACAGTAGGCGAGAGGTGCAATAGCAGTAGGCGAGAGGTGCACTAACAGCAGGCGAGAGATGCACTAACAGTAGGCGAGAGGTGCACTAACAGTAGGCGAGAGGTGCACTGGTATTAGGCGAGAGATGCACTAACAGTAGGCGAGAGGTGCACTAACAGTAGGCGAGAGGTGCACTGGTATTAGGCGAGAGGTGCACTGGTAGTAGGCGAGAGGTGCACTAACAGTAGGCGAGAGGTGCACTAACAGTAGGCGAGAGGTGCACTAACAGTAGGCGAGAGGTGCACTAACAGTAGGCGAAAGGTGCACTAACAGTAGGCGAGAGGTGTACTGGATGTGCACTAACAGTAAGTGAGAGGTGCACTAACAGTAGGCGAGAGGTGCACTAACAGTAGGCGAAAGGTGCACTAATATAGGCGAGAAGTGTACTGAATGTGCACTAATAGTAGGCGAGAGGTGCACTGGTAGTAGGTGAGAGGTGCACTGGTAGTAGGTGAGAGGTGCACTACCAGTAGACGAGAGGTGCACCTGTGGTAGGTGAGATGTGCACTGGTAGTAGGCGAGAGGTGCAGTGGTAGTAGATGAGAGGTGCACTAACAGTAGATGAGAGGTGCACTGGTAGTAGGCGAGAGGTGCACTAACATCACCATTTAACAATTTTACACTCAGTCTCTCTCACACTAACACGTTCAGTCACCACAACCGCCACATACACATACACATACACATACACATACACACACACACACCGACCCACCCCCTACACTGTCTCTCACCCCCCCCCCCCCCTCCTAACAACACATCCACCACGCCCAGCAATCCAACAATGCTACATCCAACTATCTCTCAAGTACATCCAGTCATTCATTTAAACTTCGGCCACGTATGTAGATTTACCTACCATTCACACGGATAGTGTAGAATTTGTAGGGTGGCTCAGATTCTTCTCTCTGTCGAGTTTATCACCACAACCTAACACACACTGACACCCCCCCCCACACACACATACATCCAGTCATCTCTCACACACTAACACATATGGTGACCACAACCACCACACACGCTCCCCCCCCCCCCCCCATCCACCCACACAACCCCCACACCCAGCCGTCCTCTAGCGACAACCAGAAACTCCTGAAGCATTTAACCGTCCAGACGGCCAACCAACATGTTACGGACTGATGAGTCTCTTTATATCAGATGGGGGGGGGTCTCCATGTCAGGCATAAATAAAACTGTATTCAAGTCAAGTTAAGCCAGTACATATCATCAGGAAGTTTAATGTTTGCATCGCCCATCAGATGAAAAAAAGCGCGCCCAATGTAATGTACTTGCGGCTTGTTCGAAGTTTTTTTTGTTTTTAAGTGAAGACGCTTCAGAGAATTGTTGAACTTGTCTAAACTCTGAAGGGTTTGCCCGTTGGTGGTTGTATCCTACAACCTTGTCTCACCCAACTCTTAGTGTCATAATAATATGTCCCGTTAATTGAGAATGGGTATATTTTTTAAAAAATGTTAACTACCATTACGAACCTTAAGGTCCGTGTGTCAGGTGAAAATAGAGTTCAACTGTTTCAGTGACTTCGTCATGGCCATAATATCCCTACTTTCCTTAAAGTGAGTCAGGTACCCATCAGAGCTGAGTGAACTCAGAGACGTGTATCCGACTCGACCCCGGATCCGAACTGCAAACGTTTGATTTAGCTGTCTCATGCTCTATCCCTTGTGTAGATAACCCCATAATAAGAATACTGCATTTGTCTACACTAAACCAACAATGGGTTAGGATTATGTTAAGTCTCAAATTACTGAGTTAGGATTAAATTTAGTCTCAGATCTATTCCATTGTTGGAGGTTATAAATGTAGTTCGTGTAAGCCAAAATATGATATCCTGGATTGTATGGTACAAAAGAGGGTTTAACATTGCGTCGTGTATAATCACATGAATTATCCTGTTACAATTTGGGCCCATGTCATTTTTTAATGGTGTTGTAGGCTGTTCCGCTTTAAAACTCAACTTTGTACGGATATTGGTGCTTGTTCAGTAATAATCCTGTGTTAGGGGTATCGTGGGGGTTTGGTGTAAACATGGTCAATGTTCAGCATAAGGTCATGTTCAGACTTGGTTGGACACAATGCCGTGTCCAACTACCGGACAATCAGGCGGACATTTGTGGCTATTGTTTCCTGACCGTAGAGTACCCCGGGGGGCGGGGTGGGGGGGGGGGGGGGTGACACCCACTCCGCCGTCTTAATGGATTAGCCCAAAGGTTAGTGGGGCCAATGACCACTGAAAGCAAAATTTGACAGGATTTTATTTAAAAACCAACGGCAGCCACTTCAACACTGTCAACACATTCTTGAGATCTGGGGGAAAAAAAGTTGACCTGGACAATAACCAGAAAATGAAATACTGAAACGATTGGTCACGTCTACTCTTTCAACACAATCTTGAGATCAGGAAAACAACAGACCATAAGTCTCCAACTTCTGACAACTAGAATTCAGGATGGTGGGGATGTGGTGTAGTGAAAGAACGGATTGTCACGACCGTTAACATAAAGTCCAGGGTTCGAATCCATTGGGTACCGGAATTGTATGACTGCATTACTGGAGTCGGTTTATATTTTCCGGGTATCGGAAATTTATGATTTAAAAAAAAGTCACATTAATAAGTCGAACCCCCTTTAATCGTCACCGTCACAAGTATATCGGAACAACCTGAAAAAAACAATACAGCGTTACTCAGCGACCCCTCTCATGTAATATCAATTCTTTAAAAAAAACAGTTTTATGTATGTTTATCCCCAAGAAATACAAAATGGCGTTCAAGCCACATTTTCGTAACACTCCTCACCCCCACCCCACATAGCTAGTTGTCACTACAGTACACACCTCGTGTGTGTGTGGGGGGGGGGGGAGTGATGCCACCTATGGTGGAACCCCACATCCCATATCCTATCGCAATAACTTGTTATGACGGCCACATTAGTGCCTCATAATCACACACAACACAGCCACATAGCCACACACACAATCACACAGCCACATAATCACATAGCCACACACACAGCCACATAATCACATAACCACACACATAACACAATCACACAGCCACATAATCACATAGCAACACACACACACACAATCACCCAGCCACAATCATATAGCCACACACACAGCCATATAATCACATAACCACACACACAACACAACCATATAGCCACATAGCCACACTACCACAAAACCTCACCAATGTAAAACTGACCTCTGTGAACATCGTGTCTCTCTTATCCACTTGACCTTTCTGAACTAGAAATCACCCCCACCCCACCTCCCCACACACCCCACCAAAAGACAATTAACACCAGTTGACGTTTCCATGGCAACAATCTCCACTACTCCCAATCATGCCAGATTTCGCGAATTTTTTTTACCCTCTTCAGAATCACGTGGTGTGTTAAATATTAAAATTCCGCAGTGAACACAATATTGAGCCGGACTTATCTTAAGTATTCCACCCCTCACCCCCCCCTCACCCCAGCATAGATGACGTCAACAGGATCACACTTTAAGACTAACTAGGACTAGACAAACATCCCCTGGGCGGGAGTTTAATGAGATAAAACAGTGTGTAGCCCTACCCCACCTGGTGGGGGGGGGGGGGAGGGTGGGGTCACCGTTTATCAGAGGTCAGATAAAAATGTAACGATTAAAATAAAACGTTTTCATTGTTTTAACATAGCCTCGTTCTGGGTGGTCGAGTGGTAGGAGAAACGGCGGATAACCAGAGAGTTTGAGTTCAATTCCCGGGCCTTAGTCCGTAGGTAGGTGGCCGTGTGGGGGAGCTTTGGTTGCTACTTAAGTCCCGAGTACGTATCCCCGGGTATATGAGGCTCGTAGGTGGGGATAAGAGCCCAACCTAACCCACCCTGCTTCATACATTGTCCTGCGATTGTCATAAAACTACTATTTCACGTTCACAAGATAATGACAGAATCTATATATATAATTCTCTTCTGGGAGACGCTAGAAAACAAGCTGTAAAACGCGCTCCCTACCACCCCCACCCCTACATGGTCTTAGTGAGCTGTGTTCACTCTAAATGTTTACAAGCAGAGCTGGGTTTAGTGACGACTACTAGGGGCAGATAATTTAGTTTAAAACGATTATAAACGTAGGGGGGAGGGGGTGGGGAGGAAAGGAAGGTGGGGGGGGGGGGGTTATGGTCCTTAACATG